CCTGATTCCCTAGGTCAGGCCTCAGACTGCATTTCTAGTGAGCTCCCCGGTTAGGGGTTGAGGCCAATACTGAAAAGGGATTTGCAAGTGCAGGTGTTTTATTATTTCATTTGTGCTTCTCAATTCTGTTTGTATGTTGGAAGCTTCCGGGAAAACTGTTTTCAAAAACTGATGCTGGTCCTATCCCCACTAGGCCCCCAAAATTTAGTTTTCAAAAAACAAAAATAGGGTTTGGGCATTAAAAGGATCTGTGATGATTTGGATATGGTTTTTCCTTAGAGGTTCATGTGCTAGAGACTCTCAGACAAAAGCAGACTGGTGGTTTTTGCCCATAATTTGTATTTTTTTTTTTCATTTTATTTGAAAGGAAGAGAGTCAGATAGTGAGAAAAAGAGAACTCCCATTCTCTGGTTCACTCCCCAAATGCCTGCAGCAGCTGAGGCTGGGCCAAGACAAAACTGGGAGCCCAGAACTCACTCTAGGCCTCCAACGTGGATGGTAGGGACCCAAGTACTTGAGGAGTCACCTGCTGCCTCCCCAGGTGCACATTAGCAGGGAGCAAGAATCAGAAGTCGATCCAGGACCAATATCTATGCACTCAGATATGGCACGCGGGCATCCCAAGGGGTATCTTAACTGTTTCGCCAAATACTCACAAGGCCACCTCATGCACTTGCCATTTCTGCAAGCAGCCAGTTCCCTTTAGCTTCCCCAGGATGCTGTACAATTCCTGTTACCAGAATAATGAGCCTCTCTGCAAAATAACCAGTGGCAAATATTTTGCTATAGCAACACTAAGCAGACTTTCAGCCCCCCAAGTGATTTCAAGGTCAGCCAAGGTTGAGGTCTCTTGCCTAGTGATTCTAACATGCAGCTGTGCTTGAGAGAAACCTCTTAACAGAATTTTTTACAAAAGTGTTTTGATTGCCTCTGTAATTTACAAAAAGTAAGAATGTTTTAGGATTTCAAAAATACATTGCATTTCCTAGACTTTTCATTTTATATGGAAGTAATCAGGCTCAAAGCTTTGCATGTTTTAGAAGCTTTCATTGGGGGCAAAAGTAGACCAGAAAATAATCTATCTGCAGGTTATTCTGAGTTCCTTAGACATATGATTCGTATTTGCTGATTGCTCGTTTCTGTTGTGAATATTTTAAAGAGTTACCAGCCTGATAGGTAGCATACTTTATTCTACAATTCCCACCACGAACAGTGCAGAGTGTAGAAGCAAGAAGTAAACAAACCTTAATCAAAGGCTTGTGCAGTAAAGAGGGGAGTTTTGATGTATTCTAAGGGGAGTTCCAGAGGAAGTTACAGGCGTTCTCTCTCTCACGAGAAGAAAGCATCATGTGGTAAATAATTTTGCTAAGTAAATTCAATCCAGTCTACACCCGAAGTCTACCTAATTCTTGCTGTACTCAAACACAGCAGCCAACCTTCTTTGAAAGCCCTATGTCCCTCTGTTTCCTGTTTCATCAAGTGTAATAAAGAAGAATTATGAAAAGAATAAGAGTAGAAGTAAATTTCTGAACCTGGCACGTAGAAGGCAGTTAATACATTTTTGATGAAATAATAAATATTTCTTCCAGAGAAGGGTGGACTTGATATTAAGAGGCTCTCTTCATTGTAAGGCGCTGAAGTCTAGAGGTTGTCCCCATCAGAAAAGGACTCACCCCGAAACTCCCATTGTGAACACTATGGCACCATTGTCTGAGACCTGGTTATTATAAATGTGCATAGAACCCACAAACTGGAATCCTGCAGGACATTCTGAAGCACAAGATCCCTTTTCACAAGTGTTTTCTCAAGGTCTTCTCAGTATGGCCCAGGGATGCAGCTGTGATAAGCATTGTTGTCCACAGGGACACTCACCTTACAGCCCTGCCTCTGGCCCTGTGCTGCTGGGCACATGTGAATTCCCCTCCGTACCATGGATCTCTGTACAAAGACACATTAATGTTCTAGCTGGAATTAAAACAGGGGCTGGAGGCAGGCTGTGGACTTGTCATTTTGAACAGAGTGCAGGTTGGTGCGGATCACGGTCAAGTGCGCTGTGTGGCCATGAAGAAGGCCCATTCACAGGATCTCTAGCAAGGGGCAGCTTGGTGAGAAGTGAATACAGTCAGGAGCATCCTTTCTTGTTCCCTCTTTCTCTTTGTGAATTACTTACCAGACCTCAACTGGAACTTACTGTGTGCTAGGTACTAGGATTATCAAAGCTAAGCCTTGCAGGAGAGTGGGAAGAAAACTCCTATCAGCAGAGAATTTCAATGTGAATTATTAGAGCAGCAGGAAACCCAGAAGTAACTTACACTGGGAAGTTTGGTCAAAGAATGAACGGCCCTGGTGAGTCAGATACTCTGGCTAACAAGGAATGGCCAAGTATTCCATATACAGATTTCTACTTCGCCAAAACCCAAACGTGATCTGAAAGAAAGGGACTCATTTGTGGTGTGCCTGCCAGTTCAGCCCCCAGAACACCACACGTAGCACCTCGTCCACTTCTGACCCCAGTACTGAGAGGGAGATTGAAAATCACTTACCTGAGGAAGAGGCTGACTCAGAGCTAAAATGATGGTTCTGGGCCAAGGGGTTCCTGATCCTGACACAGCCGATATTGGAGCCCAGGTGCTCTGTCATTAAAGTCTGTGCTTTTCTCCTATTGTATTTTATAATGAAATAACCTGCAAATAGCTAATGCTTACAATGTATGATTGACTGCTGAACATATGATTTGATTGAATAAATGAAGCAAGCTCTGCTGAGTGTAATTATATCCGTGAGCCATCTGTGATGGCTCAGGAACTAGTTCAAAATCTTCTTATACCTCCCTTGTAATGAATATCTTTCATTAATGATGGATGCAGCAACATTTTATAGTTCCTCACGCTTCATTCATAGAAACACTAGCTTCCCTAGTTTTGCCATGTATGGTCACTGCTTTATGCTCTTATTTTTTTACAGAATTATTTAAATCAACCAGGTTTTATTTTTTAACAAAAGAAGGTGCCCTTTGGTAGGTGGGAAACTAGTATTATTTGTACTGGTAGAGAGAGAATGGCAACAAAACTAAATGCCATGGAAATAAAGTCATGTTATTAGATTCTACTTAGACAATATCATCTGCCTGGCAACTTCCTGTTTAATTAAAAGGGAAAATATCAGTTTCAGATGTAGGGGTTCTGATCAAAATTTATATGTCATTGGAGAATTGAAATAGACTTGAACAAGGCTTACATTTCTCTTTAATTCAGCTCCAATTAGGCTTTCATTCTGCCCCACCTGAAGTCATCTCCCACACTTCTTGCAGTGTGTGCCTCATGTTTTGGGAATTACTCTTAGAGTAGAAACTACAGATTTAAAGTCAAACATCTGATTGACTCTGGATTTTAACTTTAACTGTATGTTAAATTTTAATTTTAACTGTATGTCCTGGAGAAAACTTCTCTTGGCAAATTGGAAAACTGTAACGATAACACGTGTTTCCTAATCGGGTTTTCAAGATCAAATGATAAAGTTACACAGTGCTTAGCACAGTGATGGCGCAGGGTAGGTAGGCATTAAATATTCATTCCACTTTCCCTTTCCTCTTACTGAGAGAAAATAGGAGGTATCCACAGTGGGTTTACCTATATGGGGACTCACATCTTTTGGGACTTAGAAATGCCTGTAATAGCAAAGTATTCACCCTGACTGTGCAGTCTTGGCTGAGTTACTTAACCTTTCTATCCTTCACTTTCATTTTCTTAAAAGTAGCAGCGTTGCCTACCTTGTTGACTTTCTGGAAAGAGACATTTCTGTGTTAGCAGAATGCCTCACATATGGTGAAAGCCTGACAGGTGGTAGTTGTTATTTCTTAATGGTAAGAACATTTTTCAGTTTCTTTGTTTATATTTTATTTATTTGAAAAGCAGAATGAGAGAGAAAGAGAGAGGGAGAGATCTGGCTGCTGGTACACTTCCCAAATGCCCACAACATCTAGGGCTAGTCTAGATCAAAACCAGGAACCAGGAACTCTGTCTGTGTCTCCCACGTGGGTGGTAAGGACCCAGGTATGTGAGCTGCCTCCCAGGGTGCATTAGCAGAAAGCAGGATTGGAAGCTCAGGTGGGAGTGGATCCCAGGCACTCCACTATGGGATGCAGGCAATCCCAGCAGCGACTTAACCCACTGAGCCATGATGCCCCCTCAGTTATTATTTCTACTGGCTAGGGAGAGTGATGTTGGACAGAGAAAATATCTAAGTTTATCCCTCTGGATAAAAGAAAATGAGTCCAGGGGCCAGCGCTGCGGCATAGCAGGTAGAGCCGCCGCCTGCAGTACCAGCATCCCATGTGGGCACCGGTTCAAGTCCTGGCTGCTCCACTTCCCGTCCAGCTCTCTGCTGTGGCCTGGGAAAGCAATGGGAGATGGTCCAAGTCCTCAGAGCCCTGCATCCACGTGGGAGACCCAGAAGAAGCTCCTGGCTTCGGATTGACACATCTCCGGCCGTTGTGGCCATCTGGGGAGTGAACCAGTGGATGGAAGATCTCTCTCTCTCTCTCTGCCTCTGCCTCTCTGTGACTCTGCCTTTCAAATAAATATTTTTGCGAAAAGAAAATGAGTCTGGATGATAGGATGTGAGGACGTTTTGCCCAATGGTCTGGGAACATAGTGATAGGGAAGTCACAAGGAGAAACTGTTGTCATGTGAGGAATGACTGGCAGTGACCCCAGGATGAAGGCGAGGAGGCAGAGATACTACTGACAACCATGCCTCCATCAGAAGCTCTGGCCAGGGCACTCTGGGAGGAGCGGAGGGCGGTCAGCTGCATGGGTGGGGCTCGCTGAGGAGAGAGGAGCCCCTCCTCCAGCTCAGTCTGGATGGCGCAGAGGACCGAAAGGGTTGCAGGGGAATCCCCAGATCTTGGCAGAAGATGGGGGTGCAAGAGTCCCACCTCCCTCCCTGTAAGAACTAAAATGTAAGGTAGACAGTGGCAAAAATGTCTTATTTTCTTTTCAGCTTTATTCACAGTGACAGCCCCTAAGGAACTATACAGGGTAGACCGCAGCAGCCATGTGGCCCTGGAGCGTGATTTTGACACTGGAGATCACGTGGTACTTGAAGCAATAAAAGCCAGTTGCAAAAGGTGGAAAATGAGACTGTCCTCCAGCAGGGAAAGAGCTACTTTGTTGGAGGAGCAGCTGCCCCGGGGAAGGCGCTGTTCCACATCCCCCGAGTCCGAGTCCAAATGAAGGGTGACGGGCAGTATCGCTGCCTCATTGTTTGCAGCATCTCCTGATACTACAGGTACCTGACTCTGAAAGTCAAGGTGAGTGGTTTCAGGGTCTGGAATCTATAGAGGCATCTCCCTAGCAGAGGACCTGCTTTAGCTGCAGGTAACAGAACCCTTTGAGGGGCCCGCACTATGGCGCAGTGGGTTAACACCCTGGCCTGAAGCCATCCCATATGGGCACTGGTTCTAGTCTCGGTTGCTCCACTTCCCATCCAGCTCTCTGCTATGGCCCGAGAAAGCAGTAGAAGATGGCCCAAGTCCTTGGGCCCCCGCACCCGGCTTCAGATCGGCACAGCTCCAGACGTTGAAGCCAACTGGGGAGTGAACCAGTGGATAGAAGACCTCTCTCTCTCTCTCTCTCTCTGCCTCTCCTCTCTCTACGTAACTCTGACTTTCAAGTAAAATAAATAAATCTTTAAAAAAAAAAGATATAGATGGACATATCGGGGTATTTGGCTAATGTAATGCATATGTAAATTACAGACTGATATCCAATAACACTGCCAAAAAAAATAAAAATAACCCATTGAAGGTAGCTCAAAAAACTGAAAGGATGGTTTTAAGGAGATAGAGGTGTTTCAGAAAAAAAAACAAAAGCGCCTGCTCAGCAATGATTTTTTTCTCTTTTTTGACAGAGTTAGAGACAGAGAGGTCTCCGTTAGTTCACCCCACAAAAGGCCGCTGTGGCCGGCGTGCTGCGCTGATCCGAAGCCAGGAGCCAGGTGCCTCCTCCTGGTCTCCCATGGGGTGTAGGGCCCAAGCACTTGGGCCATCCTCCACTGCACTCCCAGGCCACAGCAGAGAGCTGGACTGGAAGAGGGGCAACCGGGACAGAATCCAGGGCCCCAACTGGGACTAGAACCCGGTGTGCTGGCGCTGCAGGCAGAGGGTTAGCCTAGTGAGCCATGGTGCCGGCCCTCAGCAATGATTTTTAAAAGATTTATTTCACTTATTAGAAAGGCAAAGTGATATACAAAAATGGAGAGACAAAGAAAGAAAGATCTTCATCCACTGGCTCACTCCCCCAAATGGGTACAACAGCCAGGTCTGGGCCAGGCGGAAGCCAGGAGTCAGGAACTCCATCCAGGTCTTCCATGGAGATGGCAGGGCCCCAAGTACTTGGGCCATCTTCCCAGGTGCATTAGCAGGAAGTTGGATTAGAAGGACAGCGGCTGAGACTCAAACTGGCACTCTGATATGGGATGCCGGCATCATAGGCAGCAACTTGACCACCACAACACCAGCTCTATTAGTAATAATTTTTGATATCTGAGTATAAAGTAGCTGAAATAAGGATCAGTAGGAATTAGAACTGCAGAAATTAGGCTGAAGGAAGACAGGAAAATGTGTCCCAGAAAGGTGGGGTTACCAAAGGTAAACTGCCAAATTCACAATTCTTCCATGGAATATTTGCAAGTTGACCATTGGGCTACTCTTTTCAGTAGCTTATTCCTCTAGACCAGAGTTGCTACTTTTTAGAGCACTGACCACTTTTTAAAGATTTATTTATTTATTGGAAAGGCAGAGCAACAGAGAGAGAGAGGGAGAGCTTGCATTTACTGGCTCACTCCCCATATAACTACAATAGCCTGGGCTGGACCAGGCTGAAGCCAAGAGCCAGAGACTCCATCTGTGTCTCCCACATGAGGTGGGTCCCCATGCACTTGGGCCCTCTGCTGCTGCCTCCCCAGGTGCATTAGCACGAAGGTGGATCAGAAGCAGAGTAGCCAGGACTTGAAGTAGCTCTCTCATATGGGATGCAGGCATCACACGTGGCAGCTTAACCCTAGTTCAGAGTTTTTTTTAAGCCATCACCAGCCATAGTTGTTTAAAATATCATTTTAGTGAACAGCAACAAGGTGGATGGGTTTCCCCTCCAAAAAAAAAAAAAGTGAGTGAATAGAAATAGAAGAAATAGATCAGAGAGCATACACAGTAGGACTGGGTGATGTTTGGTAAACTCTTGTTTTAGGGGAGTATGTGTGTATGTATGTTGGGTTATAGTGTAAAATTTTTTCTTACTCTGAGTCATACTAAATTTAAAAACTTTGGCAAACACTGTTGCTGAAGTCCAAGCACCATCTATTGCAGACGAAGCAGCTGTGGTCCAGAAAAGTAGAGCCTGGTTAACTCCATAGCTGCCACATTCCTCTTGGTTCAGGGTTTCTCTACCTCAACACAAACCAAGAACCTATGTCCCAAGAGAACCTCCCCACACTGGTTTGTTCTGGGAAGGAGTGTTTCATTGGCGTGTGCCTCCCGGGCTTCAGTGAACATTCTGTTCCACTGGGCCAGTGTATCCCGACCCCTCCCTCCCAGTCGCACTCACTAGACCTCAGGATGCATTCTGCCTCCTGGAGGGTCAGTGGATTGAGACCCCAAAGACCGCTCACGTTGGCAGCAATGATGTGACTACGATTTGGTACAAGGAAGGACAAACTAGAAGAAGTACAAAGGCGAATGCTTTTTAACCTGTGTCCCTGGGTGTGTGGTTTTGTTCTTTATAACCTCATGTTTTTCTTATTTGTAAAAGGAAGACAGTAGTAGCACCTACTACATTGGATTGTTGAAAACATTAAAAAAAGGAAATCAGCATTCAGAACTGAACATGGTGCCTGGCATATAGTAGATATCTAGAGATTGGGTTTTAAGGTTTTTAATTATTCCAGGGACAGTGACCACCTCACTCCTCAACCACCAATGAGTCACCAGGAAAACTTTTAGCCTAGATGTCACTGTTTCCTTTTTCTCTCTCTCTCTCTCTTTAAGATTATTTATTCATTTGAAAGTCAGATGGGGCCAGCACTGTGGCACAGTGAGTTAACGCCATGGCCTGAAGCACTGGCATCCCATATGGGCGCTGGTTCTAGTCCCGGCTTGTCCACTTCCTATCCAGCTCTGCTATGGCCTGGGAAAGCAGTAGAAGATGGCCCGGGTCCTTGGGCCCCTGCACCCACATGGGAGAACCAGCTCCTGGTTCCTGGCTTCGGATCGGTGCAGTTCTGGCCATTGCGGCCAATTGGGGAGTGAACCAGCAGATGGAAGACCTCTCTCTCTCTGCCTCTCCTCTCTCTGTGTAACTCTGACTTTCAAATAAATAAATAAATCTTTAAAAAAAAGTCAGAGTTACACAGAGAAAGACAGAGAGGCAGAGAGAGAGACAGACAGACAGAAAGAAAGGTCTTCTGTCCGTTGGTCCACTCCACAATGGCCACAATGGCTGGAGCTGCACTGATCCGAAACCAGGAGCCAGGTGCTTCTTCCCGGTCTCCCATGTGGGTGCAGGGGCCCAAGGACTTGGACCATCTTCTACTGCTTTCCCAGGCCACAGCAGAGAGCTGGATCAGAAGAGGAGCAGCCGGGTCTCAAACCAGCACCCATATGGGATGCCGGCACTGCAGGTGGTGGCTTTACCCACTATGCCACAGTGCTGGCCCCTGCTTTCTGTTTTTATTACATTTTCTACATCCAGGTATCAGCTGGCAGGAACTCTAGGACATTGAAGTTAGCCCAATTCATGTGAGGAAAGAAGGCTGCATTTTCTCAGGATCCCCTCATGTCCTTGAGTTTCTACCACCCTAAGTCACCAGCCCCTTGTCAGCTGATGTCTAGTTGAACACTGCCCTGGGGACCAGCCGCCCTGCTCTTCCCCACTCCTTCCTGGGAAGGCCCCTGCCCGCTTTCTCACCTACGCCAGGGATTTCTCAGGTGTGGGGCAATGTGTTCCTTAAAGCAGTGGTCAGCAAGCTGGGGAGAATGGGGGTCACAAAGACTTTCCAAGGTGTGGGTGAGCACACGCAGTTTCAGGAAGTGAGTTTTAGATCCTCCCCTTCCCCAAGTTCTTTTCCCCAAAACTGATGAGCCTGAGAATGTGCCTGCTAGGCAAGGCCCTTGGGGTTCCCCTGAAACACTTCCTCTTTTACTATTGCTTTCTCCCACTTCATTTGAAGCCTACCTTTCATCTACCATGAATGTGATCTTATTGGCCCAGGGTGCTCCATCGTGTACCATAGTGCTACAGGAAAGAGTGATGGGAAACACTGGCGCTGTATTGAATTGCCATGACTAATAAGTCCTTTTGCAAGTCAGATGATATCAAATGCTCTGCTTTCAGCAAAATTGAAAAATATGCTCATATAGGTAACAGCTGATAATAAAAATGAGTAATTTTGCCGTATATATTGTGCCATTCAGTGGAATGCCATTGCTGTAACAAAGCTGCAACCATCTCCATTAACTTAGTCATAGGAACAGAATCTTTACCCAATATAGCTATAAAAAAAGAAATAGAATTGATGCTGCATTCTACCACATAGCCTCATTCTAACCACAAACCATATGTGTCTTCAGAATCATGAACAATTTTAAAAAGAAAGCTCTGGGTATCCCATTAAGAGATATGTAACCAGTGAATTTTTATATCTTATTGTAACAATTACCAATACTATAATACTTTATTTTGATCAACTGTGCTAAAAATAAGGGAACTTAAATATCAATGCCTCAGTGACATGAAAAAAAATCTAATTTTAATAGCTATAAATATTCTGTCATAAAAATGCAGAGATAGGCAGCTAAAGAGCTGTCACACATAAAAATACATTGCATTAAAATCTAATTCTGTATGCAAAGTGGAATGAGAAGTGAGTTTCAGGGTGTAGAATGACTTAGGTGCGGCTGTTAATTTGAGTCCTGGGTCTGCTCAGATTCTGGCTTCCTGCTAATGTGCACCCTGCGAGGCAGCAGGTGATGGCTCAAGTAGTTGAGCCCCTGCCACCCACTTGGGAGGCCCAGATTGCATTCCCAGGCCCTGGGCATTTGGGCAGTGAACCCATAGGCTGAAGGTTTCTTTATTTGTGTCTCTCTGCTTCTCAAAATAACAAAATATTAACAATTTAAAACTCTGTTAGAGCATTTTTATATGTATTTTTAATCAATGATGTTGTGCATAAAAGATACCTTCTTTGATCCTTGGCTGCCAGTAGATACATATGTAAGAGAGAAATAGTTATTTGCTAAAAATCTACAAAATATTAAATATTACATATTTTTCCAGTATGAAGAATTCTAAGACTATGTGAGAAGGTACATACTGCATCAAAATTCTTTCGGGGCAATACACACATGCACACACACACACACACACACGAACACCCTGGGTGGAGGCCATCATCTCAGGATTCTCCCCTAATCTGAGGTCTTGAAGGAAGCAGAGAAGACCTAGGACCCCGGTGAGGTTTTCCATCAATGAAGTAGGGCTAGAGGAAGGGCATGCCTGTAGCCTGAAATCTCTGGCAGAACCCTCGAAAACAGGTTTATGACCCCTTCTTTGATGTCTAGGAAATAATTAGCATTAAGTATAAATGAAAAGAGCATTGATTTTAAAAGGACCAAAAAAATGGCATGGCTAGAATCTAGAAGGAACAGTGATAAAGGGCTACTGTTGACAAAAAGCCAGAGAGCGAGCTGTCTGATGATGGCCACATAGCATCGCCAGAGCAAGGAGAAGAGAGGCCCTACATCTTGTAGAGCAGCTGGGTAGAGGAGAGGCCTTGGCAAAGGATCCTAGACAGGCATTGAGCAGGCACTAACAACACAAGGGCCAAACCAGCCAGAAGGCCGGGGCTGGGAGACAGGGAGTGGGAAGAGCAGATGTGCACATGGGCGGAAGCTTACCAATGTGCTCCAAATCAACAGAGTGCGTGGAGGATGGATGCAGCCGCAGGGAGTGCAGGACAGAGGCAACCTGACTCCCGTTAGAATGGCCTTCACCCTTGAAAGAGGAAGACCAAGGGCACGGGGAGGAAGGAAGAGAAGGCTGTACAGAGAAGCCACTAGAACCAGGGAAAGTGTCGGCTGTTGCAGCAGCGTCTCTGCTCTTGGTGTCTCTTATTCTTTGGTGAAATGAGGGAAGGAAATCCGGAGTCACAAAAACAGTGTCCTGTATTTTAAAGGGGGAAAACCTCCTGGAAATTACCAACGTGTTAACCTGCTGTCTGACAGATCAATTGGCAGCAGTCCTCAGAGGTTTATTTTAGTGATTATTCGAAACCTGCATGGATTCTCTAAGACAAAGGCATGTAACACTCCGTTTTGCGCCTTGTTTACTGTTGGGATGGTGAAGCAGCTAAGTTTATCTTTATGTCAGAAATGATGGTGTTGCCAGAAACATGCCTCAGATGGCAGAGTCAACCACAGGAACAGATGTCATTTAAAGCTGTGGAAATCTAAAGCAGAAAATAGTAGTAGCTATTTTAATGCCAGAGACTGAGAAGTCCACCAGGGAACAGAGAAGCAAGTCAGCATTTAGCAACAGCAGAAATCTGCTGCTACCACGAAATCAGAGGGGAAAGGCAGAGTTAAAGGAGCCCCAGGGGGTTGAGTCCCTTGACAGACACTGGAACCCAGTGGGCCTGTCCAGTGGCTGCTGGAACCAGGGAAGAGACGCACCTGCTGCTGGAGGCGCTGCCATAACCGAGAGCAGGGGGAGAAGCTGTTCCTCCGACCTGCCCTGCCAGTTTTCCTGCTCTGCTTCCCACTGGCTCCCAGGAGCCTAGGAAACACAGCGCACAGAGACCCATCTTCCTGCAATGCAGAGGAAAGAAGTAGCAGTGAGGGGTGTGTTTGGGGGCAAGCAGAGCAGGGCCCACATAGCACGCACCCTGTGCAGATCGTGGTAAATGGTTAATTGGAACTGGAACAGACTGAAGAGCTAGTGGTTGTTGAGGCAGAGCAGCGAAGGGTGATGGAGGGCCTTTGGCCAACTGGATGCAATCTTCAGGTGCCAAGGGATCTGTTCTGGAGAACAGAGATGCAGCCAGCCGAGCTGGGCAGTGAATCACACACCTAGCAAAATTGATCTGATGACCTTAGGCTGCATTAAAACCCTGTGTCGGGCAGGCATTTTGGTGCAGTGAGTTAAGCTGCTAGTGGGGATACCCACATCACGTGTTAAGTGCCAGTGTGAGTCCCCATTACTCCATCTGCAGTCCAGCTCCCTGCTAAGAGCCTGGGGAGCAGTGCATGATGGCTCGAGTACCTGAGTTCCTCCCATCCATGTGGGAGACCCGGATGGAGCTCCTGGCTGCAGCATGGCCCAACCGCAGCTGTTGCAGCCATTTGGGGAGCATCTAGCAGGGTTGCTGAAGAAAGTATTTCTCACTGAGCAGGAAGCTGAACAATTTAAAGATCACTTCCACCTCCAAAATTCTAAAATGTACTCATCTTTTCCAAAGAATACCAGCCACAGTCCAGCTTCCCCATTGTATGTTGTTGAAAAATGCATCCTTTCATTCACTTCCCAAATGAGAAAGGGCTGTGAGGGCATCTTTGTGAGCATGTAGGACGTGTGCTGTGGTGCCTTCAGACCTTGCTGCTTGTTTTGGCTGAAGGGCTCTCACCCAGCTGCCCATCATTTCCATAGCCCAGGTCAAAGTCTCCAGTCAGCTCCTGCTATCTGGCCCTCTTACCTCTGAATTCACCCACTAATGCTCCCTGCACTTTTTTTTTTTTTGAAGATTTGTTTATTATTTTTATTTGAAAGGCAGAATCACACAGAGAAGGAGAGGCAGAGAGAGAGGTCTTCCATCTGCTGGTTCACTCCCAGGTTGGCCGTAACAGCCGGAGCTGTGCCGATCGGAAGGCAGGAGCCAGGAGCTTGTTCCAGGTCTCCAATGTAGGTACAGGAGCCCAATGATTTGGGCCTCTTCTACGGCTTTGCCAGGCCACAGCAGAGAGCTGGATCAGAAGTGGAGCAGCCAGAACTTGAAGCAGCGCCCAGATGGGATGCGGCACTGCAGGCGGTGGCTTTACCCACTATGCCACAGTGCCAGCCCCCACTGCGCTTTTTTAAGAAAAAGAAAGTTTCATCACTCATGTGCATTTACGTCAATATTACTTCACCATCAAAGATTATATTGAAATTCTATTTCTTAAAGAAATATTTCCTACCCAATGAAAACCAGTGCTGCTCATTTCCCCTTCCCCTCACCAAAAATCAACAGGTTATACTGTTCATACTCTCTAGTATCTATACATGGCATTAATATTTATTTAACAATTATCTGTGGTGCAGTGGGTTAACGCTGTGGCCTGAAGCGCAGCATCCCATATGGGCGCCGGTTCTAGTCCCAGCTGCTCCAATTTTGATCCTACTCTCTGCTATGGCTGGGAAAGCAGTAAAAGATGGCCCAAGTGCTTGGGCCCCTGCACCCATGTGGGAGACCCAGAAGAAGTTCCTGGCTCCTGGCTTTGGATCAGTGCAGCTCCAGCCTTTGCGGCCATCTGGGGAGTGAACCAGTGGATAGAAGACCTCTCTCTGTCTCTACCTCTTCTCTGTAACTCTATCTTTCAAGTAAATAAAATAAATCTTAAAAAAAAAAAAATTATCTAAGATTATGAGCTGGTTTGTCCTTGTGTTTTCCTGTCCCTCTCAATATTACCATTGTCTGTTTTAGCTCTCAGTTCACTGAAGGGCAAAGAATGCTATCTGATTAATTTGCTCAACATTTACTGCACAGAAGTGTGTGTGTGTGTGTGTGTGTGTGTGTGTTGATGAGAAATATATAGTAAATATGCTCAGCTCTTCACTATTTATAGACATTATCTGTTACTTCTTCTCTTCCTAATCTCACAGAGAACAGAGGAGAAGAGGAAGTGAATAGAAAGTCAATTTCCTACTGTAGGTATTTGAAAGATATTGAATAAAGTGTGATATGGGGTTATCTGGTGATTGTATTTATCCATGCTCTCTTCTTTTTACAGACTCCAATTGTGAGATAATTTGCAATATTGTCAGAAGGCACAGAGTATGGTGCCTTAGAGCACTGTTGAGATCTGGAATCAATCCTCCAATATTCAGATAGAAGGGGTCTTCAAGGAGTTCATCAGAAATATCTGTTATGAAGATAAAGACACTATGTATGCATTTCAGAATTGTTTTGCGCCAAAATAACTTACCTTTTAATTCCACTTCACATGTACTTTTTGAAGTGCCTTTGGTTGGGACCCACCAGTGTATCCTCGGGACTCTGAGAAAAGTGCTTTATCTTTCGGCGATCACTCCCAACAGATATGGGAAATATCAAAAATGGCCTCTCTCGTAAGAATTAAATTACTGAGTGAATGTAAAACAATATATCTAGGATACAGAAAGTGCTTTAGAAATGAAAACCCTTTTTACTTGACGTTGACCATTTTGTTCATTTTTTTAGGGCGTTAAGTACAGAGCTCTACAGGAATCAGGAAAGAAAGCCTTTCTCTTCTTTTTGTGTTCCAGCTTCTTCCAAGAAAATAGATGCGTCATAAAGTTCCTGGAGACAAATGAGGTGGCACTCACGCACCAGGCTGGAGGTTATGCCCTGGCAGAAGTGGCCGGGTTGAATGAGTATTGCTACCAGCACCAGTCGCAAGGCCACCACAAAATACCAAACACCAAAGTTAAAGGAAAGGTTTTTTGTCGGGTAGGGGAGACCCGACAGGCAGGAGGGAGAGGGTGACAGAGCAAGAGAGCAAGAGAGAGAGCAAGCCAGCCAGCACGTATGAGGGAAGCAGGTGCTGCTATAGTCTTGCAGGGGGTGGGAAGTGGGAGCAGTGAATCCTGTTAGGGTAGGGGTGGAGCTGACACTTGTGTTTTGGCCATTTGGTCACCTGGCTTCTAGCCAGCCAGGCTGGGCTTAGAACTGAAGCTTACTGTGCAAGATGGCGACAGAGGCCAGAGCCCAAGATGGCTCCTGGGGCTTAAGATGGCGCCAGAGATTAGAAGCACCATTTCACTAACAATTGTCACACCAGGACCCCACCCCACCCCACCCCCCCACTCTCCCACCCCCCACCCCACCCCCACCCCGGCCCCCCGCAAAGGCCCTCCCAGGTCACTAGCGTTCTGCATCTGAAACCACTGGCAGAAACTCCAGCTGTGTGTTCTGGAATGCAGGCATGAAGGAACTTACTTTAGCCACCACTGACCCTTCAAGTAAGAGCAACCTCCCTCTCCCCAGCTCTGGAGAGCAGAGGGTAGGCTGGAAAAAGATGCCACACTCTCATAAAGCACCTGAAGAGTGTATAGTAAAAGGGCTGCTTGGGAGGTGTAATCAGAATATGGAGGAACTACCAAAGGGAGTGAGACACTGGGGTGTAAACACTGGGGGAGAAGTTTCCAGCATTAGAGAGGTTCCTGCCTGCGCCGCGGCTCACTAGGCTAATCCTCCGCCTTGCGGCGCTGGCACACTGGGTTCTAGTCCCGGTCGGGGCGCCGGATTCTGTCCCGGTTGCCCCTCTTCCAGGCCAGCTCTCTGCTGTGGCCCGGAAGTGCAGTGGAGGATGGCCCAAGTGCTTGGGCGCTGCACCCCTTGGGAGACCAGGATAAGCCTAGCTCCTGCCATCGGATCAGCGCGGTGCACCGGCTGCAGCGCGCCGGCTGCGGCAGCCATTAGAGGGTGAACCAATGGCAAAGGAAGACCTTTCTCTCTGTCTCTCACACTGTCCACTCTGCCTGTAAAAAAAAAAAAAAAAAGAGAGAGGTTCCTGGACTAGTCCAGGAGAGCAACAGTAGGGAAAGCACAGGGCCGGCACTGGCATAGGGGGTAAAGCTGCCTCCTGTGGTGCTGGCTTCCCATATGGGCGCCTGTTCTGGTCCTGACTGCTCCACTTCCGATCCAGCTCTGTGCTATGGCCTGGGAAAGCAGTGGAGGATGGCCCTCTGTGTGGGAGACCCAGAAGAGGCTCCTGGCTCCTGGCTTCAGATCAGCACAGCTCCAGCCCTGCGGCCAACTGAGGAGTGAACCAGCAGATGGAAGACCTTTCTCTCTCTCTGTGTAACTCTGACTTTCAAATAAATGAATAAATAAACCTTAAAAAAGAAAAGAAAAGAAAGCACCCTTAAGAGCTGTGGTCCTAGCTGCTGACTGCAGCAACTGCAAAGCCTGGAAGCTGAGTGAGCCCCCAACTACATCCCCTTACCACCCTTTAATCTCCAAGATGCCTCTTCTTGGCTGAACCCAGCTGGAAGTCAGAGAGCAAGGGAGTCCACTGAAGCATAAAGGTTGAATTGTCAGGGCTCAGAGTGGAGTGCTGAAGTGTGGAGAATGGATCTGGAGAAGCAGGAAATTTCCAGCAAAAGAGCCAATCTTGGTGATTCATGAACAGCGCCTCAGTCAGGGTGCACATTAGTTTGCTTGCTTTGCTACCGTTGACTGCTTATGGGGTACTGCCAGGAAAGCTTGTATCACAGAATCCTTCAAAGTGCTGATGGATATCTTTGGACGTGGATTTCGTACTTATGGAATTCATACACCATCCAAATTTAAAACAGTGTCAGGAGACTGATAACTTTTTATTTGCCAAGTAAAAATAGTTATCACATAGCATCAAAATCATTTCCTAAGAGACAGGTAATTTTATCACCAAGTATATGTTTCCTATTACCTTTCTATCATACTATCACAAACTTCATGGTTAAAGACAACACAGCTTTACTGTCTTACACTTCTGGAGGTAAGGAGTCCACCTTGGATTTCGCTGGGCTCAAATCAAGGATTGGCAGGTGTGGCGAGGCTCTGGGTGATTCCACTGTTGTGTCTCTTCCAGCTTCTTGAAGCCACCTGAATTCCTTGGCTCATGGCCCCTTCCTCCTTCAAATCAGCAATCATACCACTCAACCCTCTGGTTCTGTTGGCACATCTTTCTCTAACCCTCTGCCTCCCTCTTCCACCTTTTAAGTACCGCTGTTACTATTCTAGATGCCCCCCTGGGTAAGTCAGGGTAATATTCCCATTGGAAGGTCCCTAATGGAAGCTGTCAGCAAAACTCCTTTTGCTGTGTAAAGGTAAGGAGGCACAGGTTCTAGGGCACAGGTCATGGAGATCTCCAAGGAGTGTCACTATTCTGCTTGCTCTTTCAAGAAAGGATATGATCTCAGAATAAGCACAATCCCTAGTACTGATTACATTTGGCCTTGTAGAACATTCAAGCTGTTGTCTTATATTTCACGTTTTCTCCTTTGTCTTAGCAAAGCAAGACAGAGCTTGTGATAGGACCTGTGTGGCCTGCAGGTAAATAGGTGGTGACCCCAGGAAACAGAAGTGACAGACAGGAGAGCAAGACAAGAAAAAGGGGCAGGCATTTAGCCTAGAGGTTAAGACACCAATTAAGCTGCCCCCTCCCACATCAAAGTACCTGGCTTCAGTTCTCAGCTCTGACGAATGATCCAGCTTCTGGTGATGCAGATTCGGGGAGGCAAAGGTAAGGGCTCAAGCAATTATGGGAGATCTTGGTTGTGCTCCTAGCTACTTGGGGAGTGAACAAGCAGATAGGAGTGGAGTCTCTCTCTCTCTCTCTCTCTGCATGTGTGTCTGCCTCTCCAATAAACTTTTAAAGTATAAGGTACTTCAAATCTTTGTAAAAAATGAAATTAAAAATAAGTGTGTTTGGTACCAGACATTCTGAAGCCCATGCATACAAAGGGTCTTCAAAAACCTCATGGAAAAGTGCACATGATGAAAAAAACTACGCATGGGTCTCATAGATTTTTCTCACCTTTTGAAGTACCCTCATAGAAGAGCGCATTAGCAAAGTTGCTGATATAAGCTGACAGAATATCAGTTGGAGCATCAGATTAAGGGAGAATTTTTCATGAATTGATGCTAATCCTTAGACCAGACTCAGAAAATTTGAAGTCATCAAATACCCATCTCTTCATTACTTTCCTAATAGTTTCTTCTGGAAAAAAAATCCTCCCTGATACAGTTTTCAGAGGCAGCCAGCTGTGTTGCTGTCCATCCCGCTTCCTGTCTCTCCACCTACTCATACTTCCCAACCCAATGTCAACACTGAAGTTAGGCCAACTTCTTTCTAATTGAATTATTATGATGCAGCAAGGAAATAAAGAGAAGTCATGCTGGAGAGCTTGATAAAACATTAGAAACATACAATTTTAGGGCAAAGAGCACATTTGGCATGTTGGTGTTTCAAAGTTGTCTCTGCCCCCTTTAATCATAACTAAGACCACCAGACTTGTCCCTCATGAAAAATGAGCTATAACTAATTCATACTAAGGCTTCAGAGGCTTAAACAGTATCAATCCCAGGGGACTTTGTTTTTCCTTGGAATTGTTTACTCAACTGTCCTTTGTCTCATGGACTTTCCTGTGTAGGCTAAATTTAGCCATCGTAGCCTGGAGCTTTGGGTGAGATGTGGCTATCTGCAAGGACGCTTACATAAGAGCCTCTGTGGAGAAATAGGGACCTGCACTAAGAGGCATCCGGAAGTAACTGGGATCCACCCTTTGCTCTCCGGTCCTGTCAGTGCTTTTTCCTGCGTGATGAAGTGTGTGGGTGAATGACTGTAGAATGACCACTTCTCTGGAAGCCTTATGCTATGAAAAGTTGAGAATGGAGGGAATTGGTGCCTCTCTTTGCGGGAGCCAACGTGGCTGACAAAGAGTCAACAGCCATGAGGAGGCCTATGAGGTCTGCTCATGATGGAGGCCAGCAGGGATATGGGAAATCTCTGTGCTCTTAAAGATTCTCAGCTTGGTTTTACACATCTTTCCCAGCTTTGTTCATCCTACTGTTCCCTGACTCGGCTCCTCTGCCCGGTGCAGCGCCTCTTCCCCATACATCCTCCATGGACTGGCTTGCTCCTTTCCTGCCTCTGTGCCACCTTTGCTGTTTCTTCTGTGTGGAATACCAGCTCCAAGCCCACCCTCCCTGCAGGGCCACTCAGGCATCCCCAGGGCACAATGGGTTTACCCCTCATCTTGCCTCTTTGGAACTGTTACTTGTGTCATTTGCTTGGTGACCTTGCGACTATGCTTGTCCCTTTTCATCTATCACTGTTGTATTTTCATTGTTCTTGTGAGTCTTTATATCCAGACTAAAGCCAAAGCAGAGCTCTCTGCCTATAAGTGCTCGATAAATGTCAAATTGATATTAGTCAAAGGACAATTCCAGTCCCATCATCTCAGCCATCCGTGGGCAGCCAGACCCAAGCAGTCAAATGGTATCCTGGTTTGCAGCATAAATACCAACAACAAAATAACCAGAGTCACACATACTCCCACAAGTTCCTGCGTCTGTGCTCAAAGGCATTTTCAAGTTATGACTGTTCCCTTTCTACTCATTCTCATAAATTGAGCTGCCCACTGCTGACTGCTGTGACCCACCACAGGTTTCTCTGGAAGTCAGTGGATCAACAAAAGCGCAGAGCGCTGAGGGCTTGGGAGACGTTCTGGCAATGCTAGAATGGATCACTGGACAGCCTAGGTTTCAGTCAGAAGTTAGGGAGAACTGAGATCATTTTCCTTCTAAAGAACTCTACTCTGTTCCTGTTGCTACATTTTCATTAGGAAAGACAGGGGAACTGGAGCCCGGAAATAATTTTTAAGAGGATCTTGTGGGGCCAGCAAAGAATGGAAGCTCTCCTAGGTACTGGTAAAGAGCATGGCTCTGAAGTCAGACAGACTTGGAGTTCAAGTCCTTTCTCTGCTGCCTACCAGTTCTCAGAGCTGCCTAGCCATCCTTAGAGTCATTCTCCAGGTGTAGAGTGAGGGTAAATAATGGTAGATCTCTTACAGGATTACTGTGGTGTTTAAATAAAATGTGCGTGCACAGTGCTTAGCACTCAGAAAGGGGAGGAACATGGGAGAAATGTGGTGCCCCAAGCAAGAGGTGTGGCTTCCTATGAGCACACAGGGCTGTCTAGGGCTGAGACAAGTATCTTGGCAGTTTCCTCATCGTATAATGGTTGAGGAGCGTGTGGTTATTATATAACTGTTGAGAAGAATATGTACTAAGATACAGGCTCAGCTCCCATAATGAAGGGACCCAAAAATATAGTGACTCAAACAATTGGGAAGTCTTCTTCTCTCCAGGTAATCTGCCAAGAGAGAAGATGGTGCAGCGCAGCTAAGTAGCTGTATCCAGTGACCCAGCTTCTTACGTCCTTACTGCTCTGTGAAACCCCAGGATGTTGTCACCATTGAACTGGAAAAGCTGGGTCACTGAAAAGTCCATGTGTCAGCCCCCAGAAAGGCAAAAGAGTGGTGCAGACACGTCCAGTGTCTTAAAGCCAAGACCCATTCTCCTGACCCGAACTTATCTTCCATGGCTGGCCACACATCACTTGCAGGAGAGGCTTGGGATGCGCTCTCTGCTAATACCCTAATAACAAAGAAGGAAGGGTGAGCGTATGAAAGGGGTAACCAGCACTCTGCCACTGCCGTGAGGTAGCTAACTGCAAGGAGGATCAAGCTAAGTGGACTACATAAACAGTCCAGCCCCACAGCCCTTCTTGGCATCCACATAGCAGGTGCTTGGCTATAGCGCAGCCGGAGATGACTCATAGAGAACCTTTGCTCCCTGAACACTTGTCATCTGGGCAGATTGGTGTCCTGCTGGATGTTCAACTTTGGAAGGTCTTCAGTGACACGTGGAGCTTCTGTATGCAGAAGGGGCTTTAAAGGAACCTGCACAGGACAAGGGGACAGCGAGAGGCCTAGTTCTCCTTGGCTCCTAGTGCTGCATGCAGTAAGCACTTAGAACTACGTGGAAGTAAAGGAGCATGTTGTAACCAACACAGCTTATCCAATGTGTCAGCCTGCTTCCATATCTTTTTCTTCTTTAGTGTTCACTGCACTCTTCTGGGGAGCCTGAGCTACGCGCCTAAACAGATCTAGATCTGCACCCTGGCTCTGTCTCTGACTTAACAGGGAAGACTTTGGCTAGACTCATTGATGTGCCTTACTGCCTCCACTCTGAAAAGAGGAACCAGGACTATGAGGTCTCTTCCCTTCTCAGCTGCGGTTTCAGATGGCCCCGTGACGGAGCGGGGGAAGGCAGCTGGCAGGACTAACGTTTCCTCCTGAGCAGCTTTGCCCAGTTTCCCTGGTCCAGCCTGTTGTGTTTACTCCAGAAGAGTTCCTCCATGAGGCAAAATTCAGGCTTTTGAAAGGACACAGCTTAGCTGAGGCACCCTTTGGTCTCCTTATTGTGAAGACCCCCGCAGCCCTGCCCTGTATCAACCTGAGATCCTTGTTCTTACTGTGGCCTCCCAGCCTGCAAATGCCACTTACCTCCCTAGTAAATTCATCATTTTTCTCAGGCCCAGGACTTCACAAAACAAGACAAACCACAGTTGTAATTCACACTAAGGCATGAATGGCTGGGTTTAGCATATTACCACTACCTACGATATTCTGGGGTTTTTTTCCAAAAGAATCCTTAAAATGGAATAATTAATGGTATATGTTCTAAGCACTGTGAGTGCTTGAAGGGGAGATATTTCTGGGAGAAGGGGCTATTGGAAAGAGAGAGGGGATGATGAGAAGGGGGAGGAAGTGTGGGAGGAAGATGAAAAAATTATTGATATGTATGTAGACATGATCACTTTACCAGCATCACAGGCAGCAGTTTAACCCAGTGTGCCCCAATGCGGGCCCCTCACGTCTAGCTTTGAGAAGTCTCCCAGGCTCTCTGTGCCTCACTTTGTTCTCCAGTAAATGGGGATCATGGTAGAGCCTGCCTGAGAGGGTTATGGTGAGGGAAAAATGAGCTAGTACTTGTAGGTGCAGAGCACTTAATACTTTTTTAAAAAAAGATTTATTTATTTGAAAGGCAAAGTTACAGAGATGCAGAGCCAGGGAGAATCTTTCCTCTGCTTGTTCATTCCCCAAATGGGCTTGGACCATCTTCCGCAGCTTTCCCAGGTGCATCAGCCGGGAGCTGGATCAGACGTGAAGCAGCCAGGACATGAACTGGCGGCCATGTTGGATACTGGCACTGCAGGCGGCAGCTTTGCCTGCTCCAGCACAGCATCGGCCCCCAGGGCACTTAGGATACTGCCTGACATGGAAATGCTCTATGCAAGTTGACCTCCTTGCTTATAACCCCCTCATACGGCCAGCGTGTTGGCCTACCTCTGGGCTGCCATGTAATGGGATTCTGCTGCTTTTCCTTTCATTCAGCTCCGATGGAACCCGAGGTCCCTACGACTTCACTGCTTCACATTTTCCTCCCTTCCTGCATCGTCACATTGACTTTCATAGTCACAATGATAGTCCTAAGAAAATGGCTCTGCCAGAAGCTGTATCCTAGAAAAGGTAAGTGAGTTGCATTCATGTCTACCAAACGGACAATGGGTCTGCATTGTGAGCCCCTGCCTCACACCATAGGCCAGTGGCTTCCCAGTTTCACACTAAACGCTCTCAGGGCTCACGAGTTTGAATGACTTTGAGTGCATCTTGATTTTTTAATTGAATACTTTCGTTCTTTGAATTTTATTTACTAATTTTTTGGGGAAATAGAGAACGAAAGACACACACAGTTCAAATCCATCCACTGGTTTATCCCCCAAATGCCCACAACAGAAGCCAGGAGCCAAAAACTCATTTAAATTTCCCTTGTGGGTGGCAGCACTTGAGCCATCACCACTGCCTCCAAGGATATACATTAACAGGAAGCTAGAACCAGGAGCAGAGCCAAGACTGGGACCCAGGCACTCCAACATGGGATGAAGGCATCCCAGTTTGTGGCTTAACAGCCTGGCCAAACATCCACCCTGTGGATGACATTTTTCCCCCAGAAGAAAATAGCTCCAGTCTTCAGTGAGCTGAACTCCCAACACTAAGTGTTTTAAGAGGAATATTTGGTTCCTGTGGGTGCTGTGGTTTCCTTGTTCCTTGGGCCAAGAACTCCGCTCAGCCTCAGGAGAGTGATGTTATCTCGGCCATGCAGACAGCTATGTGGACAGAGTTTGCTGGTGGGAGGTTTCCAGGCTCCCTCTGAGGATTCTTTCTGTTCTGGTCCCTCTTTCACCATTCTGGATATGAGCTGAGTGAAAAGTGAAACCCATTCTGTCTCTCAGGGATTCGAATCCCCTGGTGGGGTAGGGAAAGGAGAAAGCTGTGGGAGATTTCTGGGGGCTGGGGAAAGCACCTGGTGGGTGGTTCCTGGGGTCTTTTAGGGCTCCCCTGGAGTCCCTCCTTAGCCTCTTGTTTTGTTTTGTTTTGTTTTGTTTTGTTTTGTTTTTTATCTTTTATTTAATGAATATAAATTTCCAAAGTACGACTCATGGGTTACAATGGCTTTCCCCCCCATACCGTCCCTCCCACCCACAACCCTCCCCTTTCCCACTCCCTCTCCCCTTCCATTCACATCAAGATTCATTTTCGATTATCTTAATATACAGAAGATCAGCTTAGTATACCTTAAGTAAGGATTTCAACAGTTTGTTCCCACACAGAAACATAAAGTGAAAAATAATAGATGATTTTTTTTTTAAATCATGATGAAATCAGGTCAGACCTATTGTCATGTTTAATCCCAGTGAGAGTCAAGTTGGGATTGATAATTGCGTTGTTTATTTTATTGTACAGAAGATCAGTTTAGTGTACATTAAGTAAAGATTTCAAATCGTTTGATCGTTGTCCCC